TCTTTTCCCAGATTTCTAGCAGGGCACGGCTAACTCACAGATTAAACCCTGAAACAACCTCTGGGCTGATCTAAGTCAGGGCATGGCTAACTCACAGATTAAACCCTGAAACAACCTCTGGGCTGATCTAAGTCAGGGCATGGCTAACTCACAGATTAAACCCTGAACAACCTCTGGGCTGATCTAAGTTAGGGCATGGCTAACTCACAGATTGAAACCTGAAACAACCTCTGAGCTGATCTAAGTCAGGGCATGGCTAACTCACAGATTGAACCCTGAAACAACCTCTGAGCTGATCTAAGTCATGGCATGGCTAAATCTCAGATCGAATTCCTTGTTTTGCGGAGGGAGAAAATCCGGAGAAAAACACTCAAATTAAAGGAGACTGAGACCGAACGATACACACCGGCAATAAAGTTGAGAAGGTCGCGTCATAGTTTTACTAATACACTTGCGCGACTGCCAAGTACTTAGCACATTCGAGAATGTATATTTATAGTATGGACCAATCAGCTTGTTTTCCGCCTCTTCTAAAAGCGGGCGCACAAATACTAAAATCTTGACATTTCGTCGCTATCTTGTGATCCGGACATCCAGAGCGCTCTTATATTAAAAGATAAAATTAAGAGATTCTAGTACTTCAGATCTGATTGTTTATAAGCGCGCACGAATACGTTGGGTTGTCTCAAAYATTAGGGATAAATGATAGTTTCCTCGCTCTTAAAGCATTAAATAAGTAAAAAATGGAAAATAATCCGAGATAAATATATTTTCTTGATTAATTATTTTCAAAAAAAAGTTCATTAAATCGGCCATATTTCTTAACGAAATTGTTTAATAAAACTCGTCCAATTTTGAAAATGTCATTTAAATGTCATGCCAGCCCCGGGACCTTTGGACAAAGACTTTTTGAATGAAATATCAATAAGAAGTCCGTTTTTATTTTAATCTTTTATACTTTTTAACACCGTAGAAAGTAAACACTTAATCTCACCCGGAAGCGACGACTAGAGCAATCAAAAAGGCTTAACATGCACAGTGATGCCTATTCATCATAGACTTTGAAAGTCATATGCCTTTGGAATATCCTGAAGATTTCACACCCTCTAAATGAGGATAATACCTACTAAAATAGTCGACAGAATATCCCACGAAGAGGAATAGGAAAGGAAATACTTTAGTTCACCTGCTGGGTCCAATTAAGTTATCAAGTCACACACGCGCTAGTATTTGCTTTAGATATATTAGTCGCATCGTGCAGCCGGCCGTGAATTGTTTGTTTCAGCTTGGACGTATATTAAAACACTCCTAAAGCAATCCAAATACTTCCAGCCACAACACTAGAGGTTGAAACCAAGTCTGAACAATGAAGGATCATTTTCACTGTGTTAGCTGAAGTGAATGAATATTCAGTGACCATAACAGCGGGGAACTGAATCCAATATTGGAATTTGATTGATAGTGACTCGAGAAAGCCTAAAGTTGGAAAGAAATTTTGGAGCGATTGATACTACTGGCGTTGAGGAAGATCCGGCATCTCTAGGACACCTTCAAAAATATCATATAACACGACTTGAGATCCAACCAAACACCATTGGTAAAATATGGAGGTTAACGGAACCAATACAACCCTTCTGCAACCGTGTTCAGATCGATCTCAACCGACGAAATTCATAGTCGTCATTCAAATCGTTGTTTACTCCGTTTTGTTGGCGTTCTCGTTTCTGGGAAACTCGCTGGTCATGCTCGTAGTGAGTAGAACTAATGAAATAAGAGCAACTGTTAATTTTTTCATTTTCAACATGGCCGTGTCGGATCTGATTTTTACCATCGTTATCACCCCGAGGGAAATTACCGCCGTTGTGTCGGATATTAACAGGCCTTGGTTCCTTAGTGGCTTTATTGGAAGCGCAACTTGTAAGTTATGTTACTTTATTCAGGACGTTTGCACTGCAGTGTCTATGTTAACACTAGTGGCCATAGCCACTGATCGTTACTACGCCATTGTCTTTCCCATGAGATCGGGTGTTATCACTCCAAAAATACGAAAGGTGATGGTCATTTCAATATGGATTATAGCAATGGGATTCAATTTCCCTAATTTCTATGCGTTTAGTGTCAGAAGATCCGATAAAAATAAGAACCTCGACGAATGCGTTTTCGTGTGGGATCAAAAGCAAGGACTCGCCTATTTCTTGACAAGTTCTGCTTTTCTCTTCATCCTACCCCTTATGACAATGATAGTCATTTATTCCATTATTCTGGTTACTATCAGAAGGCGAAAAATACCCGGAAGTCTAGAAAGCTCGAGAGCGCGGCGACATAAAGAAAGACGCAACCGTCGCGTGCTCAAAATGGTTTTAGCAGTGCTGTTGGCATTCCTGGTATGTTGGCTACCAGTGAATATATATATCTATATGAACTACTTTGGCTTGCACCAGCAATCTACGTGCAACGGGAAAGACACCGTTCTCGTAGTCACACTTTTTCTTGCCTATACTAATGCAGCCATAAACCCGTTCATCTATTTCGCTTTCAGTGAAAACTACAGACGCGCTGCAGTAAACATCATCAAGTTTAAAAGTAAGCGACAGCAAGCGAGACGAGAAAACACTTCGCTGTTAGCCAGGGCGTCTTCAGTACCAGCATCCGTCATTAAAAACCGAGCTCTCAAACTCCATCTTGAGTTAAACGAAATGACAGCTTTGGAAGAAGTGCATAATGGAGAGAGATCAGAGTAAAGTAATCCAGCCCTCGAGTGAGCCTAGACAATCCATTAAGACTAGCTACATGCAATACTACTATCTGTATTGACCAACTGTGCCTATATCACCGTTAAACGACGAGACAGGGATATAAATCATAAAAAATATGATATATGAATATCTATCTGTACATTATTTGATTCCGTGAATTTTTCATGTACGTTTTGGTCAGTTTTAAGCAATTCAGTGATCTATTAGTGCGAACCGCTTCTTAATCTACAAATAATCATCTTTGAGGGTATTAGCGCTTTTATGAAGACTAGTRTAGGTATAATTGATCACGAAAAATATCGTGTTGTTTTGAACTTTAGCGAAGTTCTCATATGGAATTGAATAGCTGTTATAATTATTTGCGCGCCGCTTTGGCAGCAATTAACACGGCGATTTCCTGATAAATTAGTGTTTAAGGAATGAAAAATGAAGAAATTTGGTAAACTTTCATGGAATATTAAATTATAATAACATTTAATTAGATATGATCCATTTAGGTAAGAATAAAACCATTAAAAACCGGAATATAGCGAAAAACATTTTGGTTGTGTAGAAACGGGGATCGACCCGAAAACTTTCAATCGAAAAAAAAAAGAGGATTAATCTTAAAATTTGCAATTATGAAGTACTTCGGCTTCCATTCTTCCCCTGGGAACTAAATATCGCTATTATTTTATCTTAAGCATAAGAAATATTAAGACAGATTCATTTGTTTATTTGAACGGATTCAAACAATTTAATTTCGTATGTTTAAGCTAGCGTATTAGTGGCGGATCACTGATATTTCTAGAGCTTTTTAAACGGTGACCTCTATTAATGGAGTTTTAGACGATCCATACTTTCCCGTCTGGAAAGAACTGATTTCTTTTCCTAAGAAATTTAATCGATAAAAAAAGATAATTAGTAGAAGAAAGGTACACAAATGAGAACGGTGTAAAATGACGTACAATTGACAGGCTTGAAGTTGGAGGGTTGGAGCTGAAGTGATTGTACAAAGAAAAATACACAGAGCGAGAGAAAAAAAAATGATATGCAATCCAAATAAAACGTTCGCCTTATCAACTAAATGACTAAACGCACAACAGTCATTTTGCTTTAGCGTCAATCCTTTTTTCAGTATTATCAGCAGTTTACTATTTGCTATAAAAAAACGTCTGCAATCTACGTTTTAGCCATGTAATAACTTATTTTGATAAAGTCGTAGGCAGGGTTGAATTTAATGAAAAAGGACAGCTATTTGACAAAGAAATCTTGAAAAGCGACAACTGTATTGACCTCTAGACAGTTCCGTCATAGGGATGTTTAAACACTACGCATCGAACGCGTTARCTAGGTGCAAAATGTTAACACAGTTCTAGATAGGTTCGTGATATTATATCAGATGGCAAATGGATAGCCAATAGACCTATCCCGAATTCGCTTGACTGACCACGAACTGTTTGAAGTTGAGACTGAACTTGATTCTTTTATTCATCAAGCTCAACCTCAACTTCAAACCATTGTTTCGTGGCCAGTCAAGCGAATTCGGGATAGGTCTATTATATTAAATAATATTATTAATAATTATTATGAAAATGATAACAAAAACATTAACGGTGGCAGCAGAAGCAGCAACAACAACAACTACTACTATTACTACTACGATTTCGCTGTGAAATAATAACGGGAATAATAATGATGTTTATTTTAAATTGACGATACTGACCGAGGCGACGGAAAAAATCACATTTATTAGTCATTGCTCCAGTTTCATTGCATCGTATCCTAGTTTTAGAATATTATTAAGTTTTTCTCAAAAGCCGGACTTATTTTTTATGATAAACTAGAATGCAATGACATTCCCTGGTAAGGCTCCTTTTACATCGGATTCAATTCCGCGAGTCTTTTTGCAACATGTAGAATAATTATGTGACCGAAATATTAGAAAAGATAGTGGAATTCATATTAGACTTAGGTTTAAATAAAAATATTTACAGTAGTTCGCCACGCATGCGCACAGGACGTTTATTTGACATATTTTAAGTATATGATCTGTCAGAGGTATTTTCGCTTTTAATATGCGTGTGTTATTTTTCGCAGGTTGATTTGACTAAATAAATGATTGATATATGTAAACAAAGTGAATAAACTATTTGAAATAAAACTTTTTTGTTAATATTGCATTTACATTTCTTTGACAATTGGTTGAAATATTTTGCATATTTCAAGTACGTAGGCCTTTTTTGAGTTCGATAAACAGGATGCTTCGTGGTCTAGATTCGGTACAAACAACACCACATAAGGCATGATGAACAAAAGATGTTTGTACCCAAGCTAGACCATGTTCTCTATCTCAGAAAAGGGCTATGGTCTGTAAACAAGTCAATCAAATCCCATGACTATATATTGTTAAAGGAGAAATCCACTTCAGTCAAAAGGATAGCCCAATTGTGCACTACTGTTCTTACAAGCATTTTCTATCCACACACCCAATGAAACTAGCTAATTTGAGGAGACATATTGCTATTTGCTTATATTTGTTTACCAAGCGTGAAATAATGATACACAATAAAGGTGGAGAAACAAATAATTTCCATAAATTAGTTGTTGCTTTAAACAACAATAACAGTCCATCCTATAGGATCCATTCGTTCAATGTCTTAATTATGCATAAGTCAATAGAAAACCTACTAATTTTTATGACTGAGATTTTATGACTGAGTTTGGACATTACTAGGTTATTTTTTCTTTATTATTAGTAGCAGTAGTATTAGTTTAAATGTAAAGTGCTTTTAAGCTATAAGTAAAAAGTGCTATATTAAATTATTATTATTATTATGATCATTATTATCATTATTATTATATAACATCAACAGACCTTCACACAAGACCTTCCCAAGGCCTGTCTCATGTGCTCTGTACCTTCTCCCCCTACTTAGGCCTACCACTCCATATACCATCCATCTACCTTTCCATTCTACCACTAACTCTTATCCCTATCCCTATACCTTGACCATGACTCTAACACTTATTACACCAGCATGGTTTGACTTTGATGGTGTAGAAGTCAATAAAACTGATATTTGCATCTACGTTCGGCATTGTTTTTACCCAGAAGGTGTGAAGGAGAACTTGTCCTTCACACCTCCCTGGTTTGCCCTTCTAAACTTTCAAGGAGTTAATTTTTTTAAAATCATATTTACCAAAGTTACTGAGGTGATACTGCTAAAGAATAAAATATTAATACTCTAGGTAAAGACAAACAAAATATGGAATGCGAAAGCATAAGTGCAAGCTTAATTTCAAAATATAAAGTTAAGCTTGAGCGATTTTTTTCGTGTTTTTTAAACACACCAATAAATAAAAATCATAACTGCACCAATAATAATACTACATAACATTCTACTTTACCATCGTCGCCATTACTATTTCTTGTAGCACAAGCTAAGAATGACACAATGAACAAACTTCAAATGATGAATGCATAATTTTCCAAAGTAAACAAAATGCACACTTATAARAAATAAATATTCCACGTTATTAAATTGTACAGATAATAAACGCACACTCCAGGTAAAATGCTATCAAAGACAGAACACAAACGTCAAAAAAATGACTTTTGAAAAGCAAAGAACGAAGAATTTATAGATTGAATGCTCAGAACAATATCCTAAATACCTCTTAATGTAGACACAGAACAAGTAAAATATCAAATACTGAACAATGTGTAGAGATTCTGCGATGTACTAGATACCAAAATGCCGTAAAATGGCAGCTGGTTGCTTTTGTTTTCAAAGAGAAACGACGAGCTAAAAGTCCATACATTCAAACTGACTTCGTATTCCCGGGAACTTGTTTATGTAAATCACTGTGCTCCTGTTCAAAGTAACAAAGCCGCTGACAGTATATCAAAATCGAATGTGGACTCGCCATAGTCACAGGTATCCCAAGCTCAATTTTAGTGTCCATCGAATTACAGTAAATTTTTTGGAGTTTGTAAATGATTAATATAAGCAAAAGAATCATTTGGAATAAAAAATAAATAAAACTTACTTGCTTGTATTGATCCCGTATAAGTCTGAAATGATTTTGAGGCCAACGATAAATTGCGTCATCGAGTTGTCAAAGTAGTTTGGATCCGCATACTACTTTGACAATGTGATGACGAAATTTATTGTCAATAAGAGGACAGACACATAAAAAACTGATGTCAATTTGTTTTTTACAATAACAAAAACGATATAAAAACTTCTCATTTTTAGCGATCAAAACAACCCAATGGCTTTGTCTGTCTGTCCTCTTATTGATGATAAAAAATAACCAATCAGCGCACGAGAAAATGGTAAGTTATCGTAAAATTATTATTTGACAAGTTACAGTAAATTTTGTAAATTAACTACTGCGGGTATTCTAGTTCTCCGCTGTTGTTGTTGCTGTTGCTGCTGCTATTGTGATAAATTGTTACAATCGTTATTTTTAAAATTTATTTGTTTTCGGTCGTGTTTGATCAAAAGAAATGAATATCTATCTATTAAAACAGTAACACGTCATCTCCCTGGTAATTTCGTAAACTCCCAATAACTCAAATATTATTCTTTATTGTGTACACATTAACTAAAAGAAGTAGTCCATAAAACTACAAACTTTGAACAATAAATTAAAACATTTTAGTCTACTTTTTAGATATTATTTTTTTCTTTTTCCTTTTTGAAGCTTAAATTCTCCGTCTACGTTCATTTAGTTTTGCCTATTTATCAAAGGGTGCCGTTACCCTGCCGGATAGCTATTTAGTATTTTTTTTATTTTTAACGGTACTTTTTATTTGAACATGCGAAAAATTAAAAGAGGAGACTACAAGCAGGGTAGGGTACATACAAATCCGCCACAGCCAATCTTACTCATATTCAAGTCTTCTTCGACGCTATTTCTTAGATTAATTTCCTAATTTTGAAGCTTAAATTTTCACGCAATCCGAGTACCTTTATTTCTCTTTTGCCCAACTGTCCAGGGTAACAGCCAAATCGACCACATCCAAATCTACTCATATCTGAGTCTTTTTCAACGACGTTTGCTGTTAAGCCATCAATCACCAATAAAGACGCCAGTACTAGGACGAAGAAAGTCGAGCGTTGTCCGAAAATCATCTTAAAACGCGTTCTACCGTTCAAAATTAAAAACCTTAGCTTCTCTCAGCAGCCAAACACAAACAATGACTCTTCTAGTCTACGCTCGAAGACTTTAAGTTAAGAGAGGTTAGATTGTTGGATCAGGCCTAGCAGCTGTGTCTATATTCATAAATAAGTTCGACGCTTTCAATTGCATGTAAAATAAATAAGCAACATAGATCTTGGAGTATTGAATTTGAACAAGTAAGAAATAAATCATGAAAAATCTACAGACATATTTTGAAAAACGTTTGCTTTTTTGACTTGCATTGTGTGTGTGGTTTTTGATTTCAGACCGTCTCGCGTCAACATTCCTTTGAGTATTATTTCTTTGTTTACTCGTAAAAGTATTGAGATGAATGTAAATCAAATAATTGAATAGAGAGCGAGGAAGAAATGGTAGCGCTTTAGGATCGAGCTTGGTTAAACCTGTAATAGCTTTGAGAAAGTAGAATGGCCATGTCCAGATACTCATATGCCAGTAACGTAAAAAAGCATTAAAAAGCCTTAAAAAGTAGTATTTTAGATCTCGCTAAAAGTTATCCCTGTACTCCATCCAATACTTCATGTTATGTGTTTTAATCTTAGTACTTTGTAACTTTAATTTTTGTATTTTGTACCATATTTTGTCTGTAAGTTTAATTTAAACAGAGCCCCATTCAAACCACCTTTGCTGAACGAACTGGGCACCTCTGTATAAATATTGTTGATAAATAAATAAATATAACACAGGGAAAAATTGTTTGTTCTTATTAGCCTTTCCTGGTAGTTAAATTCAAAGACATGGAAGATTCAGAATGATTTTAGTAGCCCATTTTTGCACTAGGTAGAACGACGTATCATTTCCAGAGTTTAAGGAGGTGTTGCGTTATTGATTTTGATTTTGGGTGATGATTTTTCTAGCCGAGCAAGGGACATACCAGAAAGCTGGTTAAAACCTGTTTTTTCCCGTCTACGATAAGTGGGAGAAAATCCAAACTCCAAGGTCACGATCTTCATTGCAGCGTTTTTTTTTTTTTTTTTTTTTTTTTTTTTTTTTTTTTTTTTTTTTTTTTTTGTCGGGCATATCGTTTGTAAATAAATAAATTGTAAATTACAATAAATAATCTTGTGATCTTCAAGTGAATAAACGTTGGGGTTTGAGTGCAACGTTTTCCTGCAATCATGTTTAATTTCCTTGAATAATTGTTTCTTTGTAATGATAAAAGGGTAAATTTTACGCCTTGAAAAGATGAAAAAACTCATTGACGTTTCGGACGCTCGTCCTTCGTCGGAGTAAAAACAAAATTCCAGTATAAACTGGATATATCTATATCTGTGTGTCTATATCTGAAGAAGGTTTTCAATCAATATTTTGTCATATCATAAAGATTCTCTAAATGAAAGCATATTATGGTAGAAATATATTTTCGGGGAAAAGCAAGCCGTTTTATCGAAGTGTTTGAACGAAGATACACTATTTGCTTGGTGGCATCTTGTTCGAGGGTAATGATAGCATCACACACGTATCAAAAAAAAGACAAAAAAATAATTGCTGTCGATAATTTTTTTATTCACTTTTATTATTGACATTGCCCTTCATTTATCTCGCTTATCTTCTGAACTCAAACGTTTTGAATAAATACAATATTATCGCTTATCTCATTGTTAAATATAGAGCTATCATTAGCTAAATATTATACGTCCATAATTGCAAGTCATCTCTCTTTGCTTAGATTTTAACAGTTAATAAAACTAAGGGTGTTGCCTCCACTATCACAGAGGATTTTCCATAATATAAGTATTACTATCACGTGAACAATAGTCACGTGTCAATCTACACATACGCAGTTCACATTAGCTTGTTAATAGAGCTCTAATGGAGGGTTACTGGTCGTCAGTTAATCTGTTATCTATATTCGATTTATTCGTCTTGATATCTTTTCCTTGCATGGGGTCCTAGAGAACACAGGTAGTCCAAGGCATCTTGAAACTTCTCTGCGCTATCATTCGGCTTGAAATATATATCAATAGAATAAATATTAGTTTGATATATAGATATGTTCATCAAGAATCGCTTGATGATACTGGAATCATTTCTAGGTCGGGGTTTGTCCGGTAATAGAATGCTGTTTTAAGTAGCTGCGATCTGCGCAAGAAGCGAAGAAAGGCACATCACATTATGACACACCCATTACAATTCACTAAAATCTAAATTATTACTAAATCAAATTAAAACTAAAACAATTGAATTTTGAATTGATTTGAGCCTAGAGATTTAACTAAAAGATTTTCTTTTGACTCCTTCGTTAAAGCACAACCTATATCATTGTAAGGGTTACAATCTCCCAAACCGTAAAAAGAGAAGCAAGAGAAGAGAAAAAGAAGGGGAAAAGGATGAGGAAAGTTAAGAAGAAGAAAACAAGAAAGAAGAAAACAACGAACAAAAACAAAAAAGGCTAAAATATGGAAAATAAACAGAACAATCAAAGGGAACAAACAAAAACTCATTGAAATCATCATTAATAACGAATGAGAAATTCACAAGGCTGCAAGATGACTTACTAAATTTTCTGGAATGATAGATTTCTTCCTGCCCTCTGTTTTTGGTCTAAACAAACCAGTATAAGCGTCGTTGCCGACCATCAATAGACCAACTACACAAAACACTAGAGCAAATGCTGTCGTCTTGTTCATTGTTCTTGATCTCTAAGTAGAACTACCTCTATTTTTGAACTTACTAGAAGGGAAGTTGGATAATGCCAAGATGGGTGCCTCTGTGCCATTTATATAGTGTGTACCTAACAGTACATGTGCAGTTGAAAATGTAAGATAATTGCTATTGATGATAGCTCTGTGTCGGAAAGTCTTTGTTGTCTGATCTTGTCTGATATAAGATCTAATTGATACCAACCTCCGGAGATAACCATCTTGTTTTTTTCTTTTCTTAACGTCAAAGTTTAAGTGGAAAGAGTGAACTCCGGTGAATATACTGGACTATTTTTACATTCATTGGCTCTAGGTTTTAGGTTTCTACTGCTACTACTACTGCTACTGCTACTGCTACTGCTACTGCTACTGCTACTGCTACTGCTACTGCTACTGCTACTGCTACTGCTACTGCTACTGCTACTGCTACTGCT